GTTTGTAGAATTACTGACGGACACGAGCGTCTCCAGCGCACTTCCGGCTTCCGGTGAGCTCTTTATGGTAACCATAGTAACGGGCGCTGATCGGGAAGAAGACCACGCCCCCTTTCCCTCCAGCTCTTCCGGTACTGAGGCGAGTAGTACAAGCGATTTTCTCGTAATAGTTTGAAAGGAATAATACTACTTTAGTATTATAAGTAAACCATAAAGGTTAATGATAAGACGATTTATAAATGTAAAAAGATGATTTATTTGCTTAAATACTTGTTTTATCCGGATATAGACCATTAACCTTTTGTTTTTATGCGGATATATTTAATGAAGGAGTTAGCGGACAGGTTTGTGTGTGACGCAGGAAGACTTGTGGAACAGCTGCTGCCTTAGAAACAATGTTAAATAAACTTTTCCTGGACTTTATTCTGTTAAACTAGCACTTTCTAACTGAAACGAGAACAGGATGATGTGTGTGTTCTGTAAGGCTGGAAAAGACACTCGGGACGACTTGCAGAACTTGATGTTTAAGTGTGAATGTAACATTTAAGTAGTTTGACATTGTCACCCAGTGCAAGGTGCCAGATGGAAAAGGAGCATTTATTTGGAATTCAGCTGTCAGTCATACTGGGCAGATACGGTCTAGTGCTTCTCTGTCTTTTAATGCGTGCAAGGTGGGAATGCAAAATTACTTAAACTCCATTAAAAACATGAAAAATTACAAGGCAAAAAATACATCTGATGTACATTAAGACTGTAACTTCTTGTGTTGAGATTTGTAATGGCCTCTGGAGTGGATCGGTCTGTGCTTCACTGTTCACTGGTCTCATACCAAACAAGACATAATATCTAATATCTAAAGGCAGTGTATAATATCTAGATGTGAAATGAATAAAAATGAATAAAAAATACAGGTAAAATGAATCATTGCTTTTTATAACGCTAGTAAAGCATTAAAAAGTGAAAGTGATAACTCTTATCATCAGATGTTTGAGTACAGAAAAAGCAGAGAGGAAAACAAACATGAATTCCCCTTTGTTAAGTTGTAAAAAAACATTAAATTAGTACAGCTCTTCACATCCTACCTTCTTCTGCACAAGTAAGTTTGTGTGTTTTCCGCCTGAATCCGGTGTCCTAGACGATGAGAACAAGGTGCTCTCACAGGCACAAGCGCAGAGGGTGGTGGTGATGGTCTTTCTCATCTCTCTGTCCTCCCTGTCTCACCATCTTCATTCTGTTTTACTCTACTGATCCCCTGTCTGGCGTCTCTCATTTTTACTCTGTGTTTCTGTGAAGATTCTAATGATGTAATGAAGTTAACACACCAGAATAAACTATACAATCCCTTTCATCAACTGTGTTTGTCCGTCTCTCAACCCACCTGCAAGCAGGTAAACACTGCCCAGTGACTGAAGGTTTTCCGAGATGTGAACTTCCAAGGCGTGAACAGCAAACGTTACAGGTCGTCTAGCTCACACCCGATCAGTAGTGATTTATATGGTGTCTGTCCATCCATCTCCTATCCACTTCCTCCAATTCTGGGTGGCATGGGAGCAGTAAGATAGAATCAATGAGTTGCAGGTCATAGTTGCTGTAAGTCCCTGCTCAGCCTCATACTGAGAGCTGGATCCTTCCCTGAGGCCTGGAATCAGAGATTGATCACCCCCATCTTTAAGAGTGAAGACAGACTTAACCCTAATACCTACCAGGGCCCCTGTACGAACAGGAACCGGGGGGAAGATATTCTGTAGCATCATGAA